GGGGACCGGGGCCGCGCCGCCGATTGGCCGCCCGGTGCTCCAGGTGAGGGGGTGGGAAAGGGGAGTCCTTCGCTTGGCCGCGGCCCCCTCTTCACTAGAGGGTTTCTTTCAAATTCCTCCTCTCCCCTGGCTGGGAGAGAAAACCAAAGCGGGTCCCCTCGGCCCCAGCCCACAATATAATCATGATGCAGAAGAGAAATACTCCATGTCGGTCTTATAAATTGTTAAAGCGCCTTTACCCACAAAGACATGGGTGGGGCAGTTGCCGTCATCTCAGTTTACAGGTGAATTCTGGGTGCCCGGTGACAAGCAGAGATTGGTAGCAAAGCTGGACCTACTAAGGCTCTCAAAGAGGCGTGACAACTCCGTGCGGCCCCTGACCCGGGCTGGATTCTGTTCTGGAAAATATTGGGGCCACTGAGAAAGGGGAATCGGAATGATGGATTAAAGTATCGAACCAATGTTAAAGTTACTGAAGTTGATAACACTCCTGTGATGGCATAAACGAATAGTCTTAGGAAAGGAACACAGAAGTATCCATGTATGTAACTTACCCTCACATGGTTCAGAAACAACGATACAGATGGACCCATCCCATATGATAAAGTGAGCGGGTGAAAATAGTAACAATTGGTGAACCTGGTGTGCAGGCGTTCTTTTGAACTATTTTTATTTATGCAACTTTTCTGTAGTCCTGGTCTAAGGCACCTTGCATTCAACTGTAAACTTTTCCAAAGGATAGTACGTTGTGTATCTGGAGAGGAGAGACAGGAAGTAGGTTATTGTGGATGAAGCAACTGCCAAAGAGAACCACCCCGTGCAATGGGAAGGTCTTTGGCAGAGATGGCTTTCTTTTCTCATTTTTTCATTCGAAAATTTCTTTAAACAGTTTCTTTTGAAATACTTATGGATTCATAAGAATTTGCAAAATTAGTACCCTCAGCTTCTCCCAATGATGACGTATTATATAACTGTAATACAATATAAAGATCAGGAAATTGACATTGGCACAATACTGTTAACTATACTATTGACCTTATTTTTATTATTTATTTATTTATTTATGTATTTATGTATTTATTTATTTAGTTTTGGGTTAATCCTCACCCAAGGATATTTTTCCATTGATTTTTAGAGAGAGTGGAAGGGAGAGAGAGAGACAGAGAAACATCAATGTGAAAGAGACACATAGATTGGTTGCCTCCTGCACACACCCCAACCAGGGCCAGGGAACCTGCATGCAAGGTACGTGCCCTTGATCAGAATCGAGCCCAGGACCCTTCAGGGCTGATGCTCTATCCACTGAGCCAAACTAGCTAGGGCCAGACCTTATTTTTAAATCACTTTTAAACCTTCATTCACTTAGGTGTGTGTGTAGCTGTATGCAATTTTATCACACATATAGATTTTTGTAATGCAACAGTAAAGATACAGAATTGTCCCATCAACACAGAAGAACTCCCTCTGCTATCTCTGTAGTTAAGTACCCATGCCCCTTCTTTCTACCCATGGCCCCAGGCAACCACTAATCTGTTCTCCAGCTCTAGAGTTTTACCATTTGGACAATGTTATATGAATGGAATCAAACATTATATAGTACCTAACCTTTTGGAATGGCTTTTATCACCAAGCATATGTCCTGAGTTTCACTCGGATTGTTGCACGTATTAATAGTTAATACTTTTTTATTGCTGAATGGTATTATTTCATTGTATGGATCTACCAAAGTTTGTTCAACTTCCCCCCACCACCCCCCCACACACACACTGCTACAGTTGTTTTGTTATTATGAATGAAAGTGCTATGAACATTCATGTACAGGTTTTTGTGTGAATGTGAGTTTTTATTTCTCTGTGATAAATATCCAAGAGTGCAATTTTTGGGTCATAAGGTAACTGCATATTTAGTTTGGTAAGAAACCACCAAACTATTTTCCTGAGTGGCTGTACCATTTTAGATGTCCACTAGCAGGGTATCCATGTTCCAGTTTCTCTACATCCTAATCAACATTTGGTGTTATCATTATTTTTTATTTTAGCCATTCTAATAGGTGTGTAGTCTTATCTCATTGTGGCTTAAATTTTTATTGGGCCAATGCCTTTATTTATTTTATTTTTTTATTGATTTTTGAGCGCGAGAGAGAGAGAAAGTTAGAAACATCGATGAGAAGGAAACATCGATCAGCTGCCTCCTGCACACCTGCTACTGGGGATGTGCCCGCAACCAAGGTACATGCCCTTGGCCGGAATCGAAGCTGGGACCTTTCAGTCTGCAGGCCGACGCTCTATCCACTGAGCCAAACCGGTCAGGGCTTCTATGTTGTTTTTTTTTTGTGGCTTAAATTTTTAATTTGCATTTCCAAATGGTTGAAGATATTGAACATCTTTTCATGTCTTTCTTTGCATCCATGTTTCCTCATTGGTGAAATATCTGTTCAACTCTTTTGCCCATACTATAATTAGATTTTTTGAATTCTGGTTGTTGAGTTTTTTTTAAGAAAAAAAGATTTTTTTAATTAGTTGAGATGAGAGAGAGGGGTGGGAAGGGGAGGGAGGGAAGGAGAGAGAAAGAGAGAGAGAGCGAGAGACTGAGATAAATTTGTTATTCCATTTATGTATGAATTCATTTGTTGCCATTTATATGCACCTGACCGGAGATTGAACCCTCAATCTTGGTGTACCAGGTCAATGCTCTAAGCAATTGTACTACCCAGCCTGGGCTTCATTTTGAGATTTGATAGTTCTTTATATATTCTACTAGAGGCCTGGTGCATGAAATTCACGCACTGGTGGGGAGGGGTGGTGAGGGGGGGGTCCCTCAACCTGACCTGCGCCCTCTTGCAGTCCGGGAGCCCTTGGGGGATGTCCCGCCACCGCCATTGTGCTCGACACCCTGTGAGCCTGGCTTCAGGTTGAGTGGTGCTTCCCCTGTGGGAGCACACTGAACACCAGGGGACAGCTCCTGCATTGAGCGTCTGCCCCCTGGTGGTCAGTGCGTGTCATAGCGACTGGTTGTTCCACTGTTCGGTCAATTTGCATATTAACCTTTTATTATATAGGATATGTAAGCCTTCGTTGAATACATGGTATGTGAATATTTTCTCCTAATCTGCACCTCATCTTTTTAAAAATATTTTTTAACAGGATATTTCACAATACAAAAGTTTTTAATTTTGATGGAGTCCACTTTATTAATTTTTTATTTTACAGATGTTTCCCATGTCTTGTCTGAGAAGTCTCTGTTATCTCTAGGTACTGAAGGTGCTCTCCTGTGTTATCTTTTAAAAGTTTTTTATTTTACCTTTAAATCCATGATTCATTTTGAATTAATTTTTGTATATGGTGTGAGGTTTAAATTGAGGTGGTCTCTTTTTATTCTTCAATTTTAGAGCTAAGTAGCATTTCAAATCAGTGGGGGAACATGTGAATTATTTAATAGCTAGTACTGCCATTTGGGAAAAAAAATAAAGTTCTATTCTTATAACAAAATAAATCCCACATGGCCCAAAAATTTAAAACACAAACAGGCTCATAAAAAAAAAACTTAGCCACACTCATCATTAGAGAAATGCAAATCAAGACCACATTGAGATACCCTCTTCCCACCTATCAGATTGGCAGAGGTTAAAAAGATGGATAATATCTAGCGTAGGTGTGTGTGCAGGAAGAGCAGTTCCCTACTAATGTAGAGGGAGAGTAACTCAGCTGCGTATATTTGGGTAACGGCAGAATCTGTACAAATTAAAACTGGGCATATCCTTTGAC